ACTGGTAACAGCGGGAAAGCCGTCCATACGAAGGTAAGCAGTCAGCTGGTGAGCCATACCGACCCGTAGCATTTATTTTAAAAACGAAATACATCCATACGTATTTCTGGCTACATAATTTGCAGTCTCCAGAGAGGAGATTTACTGTTTATGTTGAGATTAGGCTTACGGTTTGGTTTGCGCACTTCTACATGATTGTTATCTAACTATTTCCCTCTGATTTTGGGAATAATTCACACTTATGGTTGGGTTTAGGGGTAGGAAATAAGTATGGATTATTTTTCGAACAAAAATGATGTTCCAGGATCAACATAGATGTTAGTCCAGGATTGCATTGTACTTGGCAAAATCATAACGTATGTCTAAATAAGAAAATGTATAGGTGTTTCCTAGCACCTGGGGGTTAACAAGTTTGTGTACTCTCAGACAGTGCTGAGTTGCGGCTGGAAAGGCATAAGCCAGAGTAATTGGTGCGATTCCGCTGTGGTGACTCCTGATAAATCAAGAACTAAGCCAAAGGAAAATGAGTGAGTGAATATTGGTCATGACACTTTCATAAAGCATGTTAAGTATTTTAAAAGGAAGATGATTACCACTTAATGAACAAGGATCATACCTGAATATTTCTTGTGCATCGAGAACTGCAAAAATTTGTTGTTGTTGTAAAAAGCCCTCACCTGATTTTTACCACGTTTCTCACCCTGTTATTTACTTGCTTATTTTATTTTTTTGGATTTTGTTTTTGTTTTACCTGCTTTTTGGAATCCTTCTTCTCCAGACTCAAACCCCGTCGTTATGCTCATCACCTCTCTGCGCCTCAAGGCCACCGACGTGCATGGCGAGCTAACTGGACAAACTTGCAACAGCGAGAAAGCCGTCCATATGGAGGTAAGCGTGATACTGCCACGTAACATTCCTTTTAAAAACTAAATACAGCCATACTTACTTTTGGCTACATAATTCACAATCTCCAGAAGCGTATATAGGGCTACATTTTCAGAATGAGCCTATGTTGCATGTCATATGGATCACCTACAGTAGTCAACATTTGAAGTGGATCAAAATTGTTTTTCAAGCTTGTCTTAAAACTAGAACAAATTCATTCTTGACATTTTTGAAAACCTTTTTGATCCACTTCAAATGTTGACTATTGTATAACAAACCATACTTTAACCCTACTGAGTGTTAATCAAAGTAAGCATAACACTGAAGCATCCTTGACCTTTAACCTTGTTTTTACAATTGAGCTTTAGTAAAAATGGTTTTATTAGACTCACACCTGAACTAAGAAAAAGCAAACTACGCCTATGTCAGAGAAATTGTCCATATGGAGATAAATATGTGATGTGGATTTGTGGATTTTCATGCTCATCGTTGAAGTGTTTTGAGGTTCTTATTTGTACTAACAACTGCACCAAAAAAAGGTTTATTAATTTACAACACAGGTTTCAAAACTCTGCACAGTTTAGTTCAAACACTAATTAAACACACCTGATCAAACTAAGTGAGTCCTTCAGGCTTGTTTGAAACCTATAGGTACAGTAAGTGTGTTGAAGCAGGGTTGGAGCTAAACTGTCAGGCTGCAGCCCTCCAAGAACTCCAGGAAGTTTGACACCCCTGATTTACAACGCATAATCTTCTCCTGTGATCATAATTTGTGATAAAAATAACAAAATGTATATTATTAATGTTCAGAAACTACAGTGAAATGTTTGTACAAATACATTTTTGATGTTTTGCAGATTCATATAACCAGAATTACATATCTCCAGACAACACTGATTGGCCAAGCAAGCATGTTTGAGTTTTCATTTATAATATCTGATGTGCTCCTATGTGCATATATCATTATTCGGATGTGGAAATCAAAAAAATTGCACAGATTGATATGAGGATCATATGAGGAGCCACGGTTTATAGTTTTATATTGCCTGTATACACTTTATTAGGTACACCTTACTAGTACGGGGTTGTACCTTCTTTTGCCTTCAGAACTGCCTTAATCCTTTGTGGCATAGATTCAACAAGGTACTGGAAATATTCCTCAGAGATTTTGTTCTATATTGCCATGATAGAATCATGCAGTTGCTGCAGATTTGTCAACTGCACATCCACGTTGTGAATCTTTCATTCCACCACATGCCAAAGGTGCTCTATTGGATTGAGAAATAATGACTGTGGAGGCCATTTGAGTACAGTGAACCCATTGTCATGTTCAAGAAACTAGTCTTAGATTATTCATGCTTTATGACATGGTGCGTTATCCTGCTGGAAGTAGCCATCAGAAGATGTGTACACTGTGGTCATAAAGGGATGGACTTGGTCAGCAACAATACTCAGGTAAGCTGTGGCGTTGACACGATGCTCAATTGGTACTAATGGGCCCAAGGTGTAACAAGAAAATATGCCCCTACCCTGTTTCACCACCACCACCACCAGCCTGAACCGTTGATACAAGGCAGGATGGATCCATACTTTCATGTTGTTGACGTCAAATTCTGACCCTACCATCTGAATGTCGCAACAGAAATCAAGACTCATCAGACCAGGCGACATTTTTCCAATCATCTATCGTCCAATTTTGGTGAGCCTGTGAAATTGTAGCCTCAATTTCCTATTCTCAGCTGACAGGAGTGGCACCCGGTGTGGTCTTCTGCTGCTGTATCCTATTCGCCTCAAGGTTGGACGTGTTGTGCGTTCAGAGATGCTCTTCTACACACTTCGCTTGTAACGAGTATTTATTTGAGTCACTGTTGCCTTTCTATCAGCTCTTTCTATCTGGCTATTCTTCTCTGACTTCTGGCATCTACAAGGCATTAGCGCCCACAAAACTGCCGCTCACTGGATAATTTTTATTTTTCTGACCATTCCTTGTAAATCCTAGAGATGGTTGTGCGTGAAAATGCCAGTAGATCAGCAGTTTCTGAAATACTCAGACCAGCCCGTCTGGCACCAACAAATATGCAACATTCAGTCTCTTAAATCACCTTTCTTCTTCATTCTGATGCTCGATTTAAACTGCAGCAGATCATCTTGAACATGTCGACATGCCTTAATGCATCGAGTTCCAGCCATATGATTGGCTGATTAGAAAATTGTGTTATCAAGCAGTTGGACAGGTGTACCTAATAAAGTGGCCGGTGACTGGAAGGATTTTTTTTTTTTACTCTCAAAATGCCATTAATCAATTTTAAATCCAAAGATGCAAATTTAACTTATGCAGAAAACCTCAATATCGCATAAATCTCACCTCACACAAAGACCTCACACCTCACATGGAGACACGACCATGACTGATCCTCCAGCAGTGCGAGAGCTAAAACTAAAACAGTGTGATGAAAAGAGAGAAGGAGAGGGGCTTTAGAAAAACTGATAATAGCGACAGGGAGCTGCTGATAGAGATATAAATGATCGTGAAAGTGGGATGATAGGGATAAAGTAAGGTGAGAGCTAAAGTGTGTGGGGGAGGTTGTCAGTAGCAATGTGTCTATCACTGCTAATGAGCTCTGAAGGCTAAAGAAACAGAGACACTGACAACAGACTTGAAAACACAACTAAACTGTCTTTCACCCTACACACTGTCATTCCCTCTCCCTCCGTCAGGCTTTCTTGTCCTTTTCTCCTCCCTCTGCCTCTTTTAACACAAACACAGATGAATACGAAGAGGATTTTCTTTTTTGTGAGTTATGTAATGAACATCTCATTCTCTTTTAATTGATATAAGGGTAAAGATGCCTAAGCAGTCATGAATAAGTAAGTTTAAGACAGTCACGATTTACACAATGAAGGATGCCTATTATAAATAAATTCATTCATTCTTTTCGGCTTAGTCCCTTTATTAGTCTGGGGTCACCACAGCAGAATGAACCGGCAACTTATCATCATATGTTTTACGCAGCGGATGACCTTCCAGTTGCAACCCATTACTGGGAAACACCCATACACTTCTCTTCACACATACACTACGGACAATTAAGCTTACCCATTTCACTTATAGCGCATTTCTTTGGACTTGTGGGGGAAACCGGAGCACCCGGAGCAAACTCCACACAGAAATCCCAACTGACCCAGCCAAGGCTCGAACCAGCGACCTTCTTGCTGTGAGGCAAGCGCTACCCACTGCACCCTGCTACCAGTTGTTCAAATTGTGCTATGTTAATAATATTGTCATTGACTTTTCATTGCCATTGATTTTCATAGCATTTTTACTACTATGTTAGTGGCAACACCTATTACCAACATTCTTCAAAATATCTCCTTTTGTGTTCAAGAGAACATAGAATGACACTTGCTGAACTATCCATTAACCTACTTTAATGTTAAAACCCAAGAAGTGACAGTATAGCCTTAATAGATCTAAATGAATGAATGAATGAATGAATAAATAAATAAATAAATAAAAGGTAAAAATATGGAGTTAAATTATTTCCACTTGACATTAATGTTTTGCTGCTACAAATTATGTTTAAGGTAAGATTTTAGTTAAGGTGAATTGTATCTGCTCATCTGAAATATACTATTATGTCATGAAATATACAGTGCTCGGTTTTTTTTTCCAATATAGACCATGCGTTAAATACAGCTTTATTTAGAGGGTCTTATGGGTATTTCTTCCTCCAATCATCTCTCTCTTTCTCCTGCTATAATGACAGCATACCAGTACAACCTGACTTATTTTTATAAGTACTAATTGGGTAGACAGCAACCCTATTAGGATGCACATCTCCTCGGGAAATCGATTTCTTGATCTGCGGAGACCGGTGTGAGTGAGCGCGCGCGCGTAATTGTGCGGAGGGCGGGAGCGCGCGACAGGCTTCCCGCGGGTGGAAGCGCCCTTTCCTCACAGAAATCGAACAAGTGAGAAACTGTTGCTTCTTGGTGATTTCTTAAGAAAGAGATTGGAACATACGAAATTTAAATAGTAATTTACTTACTAGCGAATCTTTTACTAGAGGTAGTAGTAGTTTCATAAAGATATTATACGCCTGAAGTAGGCGAGCTGAAAGTGAACTGTGTTAAAAAAAGCGGGAAAGGCGGCGAAGAAGCAGCAAAAGGAGAAACCCGGAGATTTATCAAGCTGACAACAGTCAGAGCAAGAGTGACCGTTAAAGGAAAAACCCGAAGGCGCGAGTTTCTCTGACAGACTCTGAGCTGAGCGCGCACGCGAGAGGAGCTGCGCTGTCGACCGGAGTTACTCATCAATTTTCACATTCTCTGGGAACTTATCAGGTAGGCACGATTGTTTTACTGTTCTGGTTTGTTGCTCAGACATGTTAGATAAACTTTTAATTAACTGTCTTAATGCATGTATTTTTTAACTGCTACCAGAACTGAGAAAAGTATATGAAACATCCATTTTGATGTAAAGAGCTGCTGTAAAGATTCTAGAAAAGTTACAGTGCATGTATGATAGCAAATAGGCTAGTTTAATATTAGTTAAATGAGGAAATGTTATATACAATTTGTAGTTTTGGAGAGGTAAAGTATAAGCAAATTGTGATGATTAATTTAATAAATTCAGTAAATGAGTAATGTCGATTAAAATATATATTGCGTTTGAGTATTGGGGAAGGGAAATCTTTTTTTATTCTTTTATTTTATCTAATTTTTTATTTTTTGCTTATCACAAAAAAAAAAAAAAAACTCTTACTAAGCATTCAAATATCTGTTGCTCTTTATGTGTTGTAGGTTTTACAGTTTTGCCAATTTAAAAACTCAGTCAGTCACATGTCAAGATGCCAGAGGAGATTGATCTTGGGACCTGAAGTTTGATGAAGACCAGCAGGGACTGAAAATCACCTAGAGTGCTGTGTGAGCTTGCTTTACTATCATTGTGTATCTCGCCATCTATTTACCATCAGGGTTACAGGACGTTTACAAGCCAACTGCTTAAACCGAACATTGAAGGTTTAAGACTGTCATGAAAGGAGAAAATTGTTTATAACGTGGATTGCTTTCCATCATTTTGAATCACAACCACAGCTTTCTTCTGTGAGAGGAGGGGCAGTTTGTTTAAATGCTGCAGTGGACATGGACTTTTCTGGAAATTTTCCTGAACGCTTCTTGAACTTCTCATGGAGGCTTAAGCCACACCGCTGTCTCTTCATTAATCTATAGGGAGACGTCACCGTCGCACAGCAACCCCTGAGAAATACACCTCCACATCACCTGATAGAATCTCCATCCACGGGCGAAAATTTGGAGACCCCAAATCCCACATGTTGCTTATATCAGACAAGCAATATATATTTATATGACAATATAAACCCACTGGATCATCCAGAATTGCTGTTTATATGGAGCGATAACTGGGCGTCACTCACAAGAGCGAATAGGGGTTAGAGGGCTGCCTGTTGTGATTTAATGTAGTAAAGCAGAGCAAAAAAAGAGAAATTGAACCTTTTAATGCAAATGAAGCAACCTTTATTCCATGACGGATATCTACTTTGTTGCTGGAGTTGTTGCTGGATGGGAAAACAATTCTAAGACACAGCCAGCATTTTCTCACATTGTATTCTCTCGTTAAGAGTTTCTATTTCACCATAGTCCTTTTTCCTTCCCAGAGATCATTCTGGCCGGGCCTGTTTCTTCTAAAGGAGAGGAGGACTTCCTCTCTATCGCTGCCTCACGCCTCAGCCGCAGGAAGCGCGTTATTGGCGCGGCAGTGGGTGTGGCCATGGTGCTGGTGCTACTGGTCACTATTCCACTATTGGTCCACAGCACCAAACTAGGTGGTTCTGGTGGTGGAGGTACACATTATGAAATGCTTGGCAGCTGCAAGATGGTCTGTGACTCTTTAACACCCACTAATGAACTAACGCCTGTTTCACCTCCTCCTCACGACATCCCTGGACGCAAAGGAGGAGCCAAGTCTGGTTTTCGTGGAAACCAAGGCCTACCAGGTCCCCCCGGTCCACGTGGGCCACCTGGAGAACCAGGAAAACCAGGTCCACCTGGACCTCCAGGTCCAGGCCCTGGGGGATACATCCCATCCTTCTACAGCCCCAAAATAGCCTTCTATGCTGGTCTGCGCAAGCAACATGAGGGGACCGAGGTACTCAAGTTTGATGATGTGGTGACAAATGTTGGGAATTACTATGAGCCTACCACAGGCAAGTTCACCTGCCCTCTTCCTGGAATCTACTTCTTCACTTATCACGTGCTCATGAGGGGTGGAGATGGAACGAGCATGTGGGCCGACCTCAAGAAAAATGGACAGGTAGGAGATCTCTGTGTGTAAACAAAGGTCACGTTTACACTGCAGGTCTTGATGCCCAATTCCGATTTGTTGACTATATCTGATTTATTTTCAGCCTGTCTGTTTACACATTCCTTTAATTTTGACTCATATCTGATTTATGTGTTAACAATTGCAATACAGTTTACGACATTGCACATGCATAAAGGTGGGTTCTAGCATCTGCGCCACACTAGTCACGATGGAAGAAATTATTTTGAGTCGGAGGGAAAGGACTGCCATTGCAGCTTGTGCCTATGGTTTATATATGGTGTCCTCCACCATTCAGAGGAATTTGTGGGTACGGGAGAGATCTCAAGTCTGGTGGGAGCAAATTCTTGTGGGCATTGATGAGAAGCAGTGGGTCTGAAATTTTAGGTCAAGCACATACACGCTCTTCCTTCTACTTTATTAAACCGTCAAGAAATAGCACATTGTCGCAAGTTTATTGACGTACAAAATGGAATGCCTCAATAAATTTGATCTGCCTGTTTACATGATAGTCGCATTGTCACAAATCCGATTTATATTTGATTTATTTTCGCATATCAGGGAGGCCTGAAACCAATCTCTGAATATCCGAATCCAAATTTCCGTCTTTACATGGTCATAGAACAGATCCGATCTGTGTCACAAAATCGGAATTGGGTCGCATTGCAAACGGGGCCAAAAAGACTCTTAGTGGAAAGAACTGAGAATGTTTTTAAATTCCATTTGGCAAAATTCCATTTTAAATTCCGAGTTACAAACATGCTGCTGAAAAGCAAATTTGCATTTGCTGAAGGGGTTTGTTTTGCGATATCATCTGGATGGATGTGCATTATTCCACTTATTGCATGACTACTTACTACTTAAATAATTGGAGGCAAAATATTTAATTGAGTTGAAGTATTTTAGAATCTCACTGAATGCAGCTGCTAACAAGTGGCAAGAAAAAAACTAGATGCACATTAAAGGCATTGGAGAAATTACACTGCTTTTCATCATATAAAACACATATCTTTCTTAAAATCTTTCATAAAAACTCCAACTTATATGATGGTGTAGGTTGTTTGTGTCTTTCCTGAAATACAGTACCATGCAAAGGAGTGATTAATAAAAAAACTACCATGATTTAGACACAATTCAATTAGTGTAACAATGTGGGATTCATGTACTTTGATTGGTAGAACATCGCAGTACAATAGTGCAACAGGTTTAGTCACAGATTCGATCAAAGAAAACACAGACATTGGTAAAATGTGAGCCCTGATGACCCTAATGACCCAAGTTGCCCAGCAGAGCCTGATATATAAGTGTTTGCTGGTTATTATCAGGGAATAGCACAATTTAGGATGTTGTAACTGACCTATCAGAATCAGGTATTCCAAAGGGCAATGTACATGAATTTAAAATAAAATACTTCATGTAGTTTTTATATAATTAAGTGAAAGCTAGTGTAAAGGGAGTTTGGGAAGACTTCCACATTTAGCATCTGAATCATTTTTTGATTCACTCTAACGTTTGCTAAGTTTTTAGAGGTACTTTACATAGACAAAGGTCAGACATGAATGAAGTGTATTAAAAACAAGCATCTGATTTGATGGTAATTGCAAACAAATATTAGATTTGCCAAGGCAGGATTAAGGAATACATTTAGCATTCAAATAGGATCCAGTAAGACAGCTCCTGAATTATTCAGCAGTCATTTTCTCAGCCTATCACTCTAAATCTTGCTGAAGAGGTTTGCCAATAAGAACATACATTTAAAATAAATAAAAAGACAAAGAGGACTTAAAAGGTATAACAAAGAGTATATAATTTCAAAGCATATCAGAATGAGTTAAATCTGACATGTTCCTGAATTAAAGCAGTCTATTCGACAAATGTCACCAATCACAAATAGCTATAGGTAACAGCACCCCGATGGAAAAGGACAATTGTACATCACACAAACAAGCAAATGCTCTCTCTTTGTGTCTCTCTGGAGTGGAACGAAATGCAACAGCTGGAGACAGTCCTCACAGGACCCGTGGATTTAGAATAAATGAAAAAGTAAGGAGAGAAAAAACCTCTCCATCTGGTGAAACATGACACGGATCTGGGATTCAGGCGCTCTCAACTCAACCGCTCAGTTTTGATTTTTAGTAGTGGAACAAAAAGCGGGGATTATCCAAAGAGATATAAAAATTCCCCAGGCAACATGTGTTTACATACACACTGTCTCCGTCTTTTCATGCGCACATACAAGGTTTTCTGGAACTTTTAGCTCTTTGTGACAGACATATGACAGCAAGTGATGAAAACCCTTTAATGAGTCTGGAGCAACCTGTCAGCTTCCCTTCATCACACTGTCATTAACATGACATAGAACCTGAATTAATGCCCTTTGCCTGTTTATCATACATAATCCAGAACAAAAGATAAATGATTAGTGAATCCACAGCTTTGTGATCAGATGAGTGCATCTGTAAAATACTAGAGGTTCAAATGTTATTTTCAACAGCATATGAAACTACATAGCTATGGTTATTGATTCAAATGCTCAAGCTCTGCATGCAAAGGTAATCTCAGTGGATTCACATTTTGAGCCAATGAATTCATCAAAAAAGCGAGAGGAAAAATGGTTATGATCAATATAGAATCTAAAGCAAAATAATACAGTAATAATAATAACATCATGAATAAATATAATAAAGGGGCGACACGGTGGCTCAGTGGTTAGCACTGTTGTCTTACAGCTAGAAGGTCGCTGGTCGCTGGATTTCTGTGATTGAGTTTGCATGTTCCCGTGTTACATCCGTGTTTGCATGTGTTTGCCCCCACAGTCCAAAGACATGTGGTATAGGTGAATTGAATAAGCTAAATTGGCTGTAGTGTATGTGTGAATGAGTGTATGGATGTTTCCCAGTACTGGGTTGCAGCTGGAAGGGCACCTGCTGTGTCAAACATATGCAGGATAAGTTGCCGGTTCGACTTCTGATAAATAAAGTGACTAAGCCGAAGGAAAATGAATATTATAAAATTATTATATTAATATTGTGACAGATCATTCATGTTTTTTTCATGACAAAAGTGTAAACAGACAAAAACATCATGGAATCGGATCATTTCCATTCTGATTTGGCCACTTGCACATGTGGTACAGGTACAGCTCAAATACAGATTAGATGTTTTGCAATGCCACTCTAAGCTTTTGCATATATTACATTTTACATATATATATATATATATATGACAGTTGCACACTTGCACTGCGCAGTTGAATAAGTGAGTTATTCATGTGACAGCTCTATACAACCTAAACCTAATAGGTTGTGCAATAAATATTAATAATATTGAAAGTAAACAAATGCTTACGGTGTTTAGTTTTAAAATGACAGCATGCTGTATGTTATAAACTGTTATTATTATAACTTTTATTAATATTCTCAATTTAATTATACTATTCCATTAATATTAAATTAATAATTATGAGTGTACCTCACACAGGTGAGTGGGCTTAGTGTAGAAAACACAATCTTATATCTCTTTGACACTTCAACCAACACTTGCAACAGTTTTTTGGACATTTGCATCAGACACATTTTTCAATCACTCCATATTTTAAAAAAAATAATTAAATAATAATAATAAACTTTGTGCATTTGTGAAGTGTACTTTACACAGGTGAGTGGACTTGACAGACCACTTTTATAATCTCTCTCTCTTTCTCAAAAAACTCCCCCCTCCCCCTACTCTGGTACTAAATTCTCTGAGCACAAACAGTTTCTTTTCATAATTAGCACTTCTTGTGTATTGCATCTTCATATAGAATTGCAGAATGCTTCCTCAATTGTATGTCACTTTGAACAAATGCGTCTGCTAAATGACTAAATGTAAATGTGTTCGTGTTATCATTGATTTGTGAATGCGGATCAGTTCATGACTAGAATCAGTTCACACATGAATGTGAAACAGGCCACATTTAAAATTATGAACAGCCCCAAAACATTCAGATCTGAGCAATAAGTAGGCAAGCACTTACTCTTGCAGAGAGAACCATTGCTACCCACACTAAAATGTAATATTACTGTATATATAATAGCTCATGTGCTGTGGGCCATAAACCAGACTGCTCTGGTATTCAACATATCTTCCATTAAGTGGAGGACGAGATGGAGAAAGTGAGAAGATGAGGAGAGTAAGCTTAGGCAGTGTATGGCATGCTGTATTGCATAGATTGTCATTCCAGTGATCTCCTCTTGTGTTAAATCATTCATGTCTTTAAGATGAGATTCCCTCTTTTCCACCTGGGCCACACACAAACACACACACAGAGCCACACTCTGCCAAATGTCTATCTCTGCCCTCGTTAATTATCTCTCCCCTTAGCTAAATTATTTAGCCCATCTCAAGGTCCTCTCAAAGCATTCTCACAAACAAACACACCACCACACCAACATGAGTTTTGGATTATTCTTAAAGAGATAGTTCACTCAAAAAATGAAATTCGGTCATCTTTTATTTTTTTAACTTTTTGTGTGAGCCCTAAAACTTTTTACCACACCTTCCAGTGCCCTGTGACTGAAGAAAATGTGCCAGAGTTAAATATCTTAAAATATCAGCTCACAACTCACAGGAAAATGCTACTTTTTAGTTTTCGGCAAATTAGTAAAGGAAGGAAAAGCTATTATATGTGGCCAAGTATGATGTGTCCTACACTCTGAATTTATGCTCTGCATTTAACATCGTGAACACACTGCTAGCTTAGTGGGAAAATGATTTTAGGGGGTTTATTGCTTTGTTTAAATGATTTTAAATGTTTCACATGAATCTTTGTATTTAGGATGGAAGAGGGCACTGTACATTCATTCTCACAACATCATCCCTCCTAGTACTGAAACTTGAATCTGTGGCCTCTGGATCACAAGTCAAATCTCTAACCATTAAACCATGACTGGCTAATGAAATCATACAAATTCACCACAAAATAAAAATTTAGGAATTGTGTGAGATTGTGT